TCTGGAGACTTTATTATTATTAATATGAATATAGGTTTCTCTGTACTAACACACCCACTAAACCTGGCAAGTAACAGGTAAGTGTAATCAGGTGTGTTTGAGTAGGTAAATCAGCTGCACTGGTCACCGGCCCTCCAGGAAGTTGTGCACCCCTACTTTACATGCTATGCGCTCATTTTAAAGTAGTGACTTTACTGGGTGCGTATTCTAAAATATTCTCCTACAAATGTAAAAGATAACTGTATTCTGAAAACTTTGCTAAATGTGACTTGAACTGAACACAGATACCAAATTGCTGTATTCTGAAAACGTATTCCCAATACTTTTATTCCATTAAGTGGCAACCCTTGTTACATCAAAATGTACACAAAATTGATTTAAAAAAAACTGCCTTGAATAGTACTGTGCCTTTCCTGGCCATAATGGTGAACATATTCATAACAAACAATGAAAGTCTGCTCTGGGCTTCTCTTTTCCTTTGTAGTCACTGACCTCTGTTTACACAGGTCTTTGTATTTATAGTATATCTCAGCATTTCCACTCAGCACAAATGGGTGCACCATTTGTATGACAACAGGAACTGATTTCACAACTTCATTCATTATTACATGGAGAAGACCTGCAATAAAATATATGAGGTGTCATCTTGCAGGCAGTTTAGCTCATTTGTTTCCCACCTCAGTCTTTACTGACAGGTTCTCTGCTGGAATGAAATCACTGACTGCCAGCCTGGTGCCACATCAGTGAACAGAAGAAATCATACTATTGATAAGGACCCCTCTTGAACTTACTACAGTAGGTCTAGTAAACTGATCCACGTGTAATAGAAGAGCTTTCAGATAATAGTTATATAATAGTTATTTAGTGGCACAAATAAGAAATGGAGCAATTTAATTTGTGGGTTGACGTGTTTATTTGTGGTTGGTTCCAAACTTGTTCCAACAGGCCCTTCTAGTCATAGGAGTTGTGTGTGGAGGGGGTGTGGTATGAATTTAGATGTGTACAGAGGCCTGATATCCAGCCTGAATCGTGAACCATAAGAAGACAGGGAGCTGCAGTAGTACTTTAGTACTCAGAACATACGCGCTACCGACTAATGATGAACTAAAAGTAAGTAGACTGCTCATTCACTCATAGAAGTTTAGTCTTTGTTGATGTTTGTGTTTTACAGAGTTTTGGTCTGTCTTCCCAAGGCTATGCGGTCAGCCACAGCCACAGGGTGTGTTACTGTAGATGCAATTGCAAGAAACACATTTTACAGTTATGTCAACGATCTACATGTTCATTTCTGTGGAGAACTATTACTGTATTTATCAATGGTTTTCCACAGTTCTCAATGGCACATTGTTGTTGCTGACAAGTGTTATACAAAAAAAGAGAAAAGACAGACTGACCATTAACAGCATGGGTTTTATTACTGGTTAGAGAACACTGAAACGGAGAGGAAGATGTTGTGTGTTTGTGAATGTGTTTTGTCTCTTACGCTATCCTGTCCCCTCACCGTACTTACCATATGTTATATCCTGCTGGGTGATGTAGTCCTGACAAAGAATGCAAGTAAAGAAGCCAGTTTGTGAACCCCTTTACTCCAGTCTCTGTCTGTGTTTATTAGTTGTTAAGTAATTTTTTTCTAATGATACAACAAAACCGGCGACAAGAGTAAATGCAAAAAGTAATACTATATTCAAAGTAGGTAGGTTGCAAAGGCTTGAACAGAAAAGAAGACACAACTTGTAGCATGAAAATACTGAAGAGAAAACACTGTAGACAAGTAAAGTTCTCTTTATTAAACACCAGGGCAGAAAGGCACATAACATACAACCATCCCTGTGGGGGAGGTCACCACCAGCCACAGGCTTGACCCTCACAGTGACCTCCCCTCATACGCAAACAACCCGCACCATACACACAATAAATATAACCAACTCACACCTATAACTTAAATTAATGAACAACAAACAACAAACAGTACTATTTTAGGAGGGTGTGCGCCTACCATGAGCCCCTGCCTGCAGCTGCTCACATGGCTACACCACCTTAGCTTCTTAAAGGCAGCCCAAGCCAGTAGCAGGTTGCCACAGTACTAAAGGCAGTGAGTAGGAAATACAAATCCAACACATAAAGCCAAACTAAGGAAACCAAAATTTTCATTTTTCATTTACTGGAGGAAAAAGGGGGAAATGGCGAGTCTAGTCAGAAGCATTGGGCCATTTGATGAGTCTGTGGAGCGTTTTGAGTACTTGTTTGAACACCACTGCAATGCAAATGGTCTTTCCAGGCTCCCTCAGCCCATCAGGCCTACAGAACACCAGCAGGCTGAAATCTTCTACTTCAGAGAAGTGCTAAATGCCCCGATAACATCGGTGCAAAACATGGTCTTTTGTGGAAGAAGAGGAGAGATGACAAAATGTCTAAATCCTTACGTGGTCTGAAGGAATGAGCTCACAGTTCAGTCTGGTTGCTTGCTGGGGGGCTACCCAGTTCTAATACCTCTACCCTTAAGATGCCTGGTGTCTACTCAGGGCACTGTGGAGTAGTGAGAATGAAGAAGATTGCTTGCAACTAATTTTGGTGGCCAGACTTGGATGCAGCAATTGAGGAGAAGGCCAAGGCTTGCCCAGCTTGTCAGAAACAGTGTTTGAAAAACAGTGAGAACTCTGGCAGCTGTGTTTTGAAACAAAGGAAGCTGTTTTTGGGAGTGCACTTAAGAGACCAAGTCAGCAATCAATTCTGCTCGAAATAAAGGTGTGTATGAGTCTCTCCAGGCCTGCTTTAGTTGGAAAATCTCTAATCTCATTAGTGTTCTTAAAATGCTGATTTAGTAAATGCTTTGACATGAGTGCTAAAACTGAAATCCATGTCCTCAATTTCATTTAGGCAGCTAGTCTGTGCCTCTTGGTGCTATTCCCAAATAAAATAATTCTATGATAATTTTATTTTTATTCAGCTGCAGAACGTTTTGTCCCATTAAGTGAGTGATGTGCTCAAGGCACGTACAAAGCGAGTCAATGGGACCATAGTTGTTTAGGAAGAAGGCCAAGTATATCTGAGTATCATCTGCATAGCTGTAGGTTTAAGATATCCTACAGTGAGAGCAGCTCACAAATCAAACCCTGGGGGGCACCACAGGTCACTGGCACTCTCTCAGAAACATTGTTTTCTATTTCAAGAAAGTAGCTTCTGTCTTTCAGGTAAGAACTGAACCATTTTAGGATAGTTTCTGAGAGTCCAACCCAGTATTTAATTGTATCTCTGAGAATTTAATGGATTGAGTAGCAGTAGAACAGAGTCTGTATTTAAACGAATGTCATTCTTAATTAGAGCAGTCTCAGTACTTTGATTAGGCAAAAATCCTGACTGAAATTTGTCTAGACAGCTATTTAAGGACAGAAAACCATGTGTTTAATCCAATATTCTGATTGGCTGACACTTTCAGATCTTTCTGCATTATGTTCTTTAGGAAACTTACTGGGGCCTTGCAGTGGTTCAAATCTGTTTAGTAAATGATGTGACTGGGACCAGTGTTCTGCTCTGGCTTTGTACTGTGGTCTCTGAGCAGCAGCTTTAGCATTAGTATTAGCAGGACATGCTTTGTTAGTGGAGGGTGGAAGATGAGACTACAAAGCTATTAGTAGCAAAGTGTTTGGTTTAGCTCCAATGTAGACACATTGCTCATTTATGCCAGCTGTACTTACAATAGCAGCTCCAGACACTATAGCTCAAAAAAAAAAAACATAAGAAACTGAACATAAAGAAAGTAAGTTAGGGTGACCAGATGTCCCTTCTTTTTGGGGACAGCCCCCATGATTTGTTGCCTGTCCATAGAAATGTCTTGTTTTTGCTAACAGTGGTCTGCTGACCACTTCTACCACTTGCTCACCTAATTTTAGAGAATACTGCTGTGTAAAACTCTAACCTAGCTAGTGTCAAGTGAGTTGATAACATCACCACAAATGTCTTCAAATGTCCACAAATGTCTTCAAGATACAGGGGAACCCAGGGATTGTGTGTGTATTTGGGGGGGGGGCTTGAATCATACTACCAGCTGATAGATCTGATTTCTATAGACATACAGTCTACTTGAATGTAGGCTACCATGCAATGTAGAAATAGTGCTTAATTTGTTTTAAAACTGTATCACTTTTTAGCCATCCAGACATTTGTTGACAGCAGCCGTCTCTGTCTCTCCAGAACTGAAGCTAACCCAGAGGTGTGTTTAGGGTCTGGATATTGAGCTATAGCCACACGTTTTTCTGCAGCCACTGGTCTCTTTTTACAGTCAAAATGTTTTATATGAATATGAATTATGGGCTCATACAACAACTGAATTTTTTGTGGTGCAGAATTCAAACCCTTCACATCAGGGGACCAGCCTTGTGTCTGGAGGATCGATTCTTATGTCTTGCGCACAGGTACACAGACATTAGGCCAGCCCATTAAACACTGGGCAGTCACATTTAGAAAGGTGAGTTACTACGTTTATGGGGACACTGTGTTCCCACCTTCCTCTTACATCTACCACACATAAGCTATGGCTGTTAGTCTTTATGTCTATCAGTTAAAGTGTGATGTGTATTCACAATACTTTTGGGATAATGTTGATTTAATGTCACATTGAGATAAAACTCTCTTTTGCGAGAGACAGTAGGGCTGGTATGAAAATGTGGGTAGTCGGTATACAAGGTATTACAAAGTTACTTAGTACCCAATTTTATCACTCCACCTTCACCATAGTTTATTACAGTGCCACAGTTACCATCATGAAAAAACATATTATTCCATAGACAAAAATATTGAATATTTTAAGGATATATTGACCACCGACCTGAAAATGTCCCCGTTTTTTTATTTTAGAAATCTAGTCACCTTAAAAGAAATGAAAGATAGCAGAGGTAAGCAGAGAAGCGTCCTAACAGCAAGGAAGCAGGAAGACTTCTTCAACTGTATTGACAAGAGTCAGGGTCAACTCCAGAAAACCCAGAGTCAGGCATTACTAGTAGCACCAAATAGTAATATATTGGTTCATTTATAAAAGCCAAAGAGTACCTATCCATTTGCATAGAGAACTTTAACATTTGCATGGAACATTTTGTAACTGCATGTAATGTACAGTGAATTATAACATTGAGTGTACTGCAGGAATTAGCCTGTAAAGTGATGCAGAGCCTTATATGAAGTACAAAACAGTATCAGTAACTAGTCATTAGTCCTGTGATTCCAATCAGAGTCCATTGATAAGTTAAAACAGTAGCAGACATTCCATTTCTTTTGGCCTTGGACCGGTTAAAAGTCTTTGATGACGTTATGTATCTTCCAGTATTGCCCACTACATGCCTGAACGACAAGCTGGTATTGTGAATCCTGTCCTTGGGTAACCTCAAGACATCGGTTTGTGTCTCTGTTCCTTATTGGCTGTCCCTGTAGATAAAGCAAAGACAGACACCTTACATAGTAGTTATTTATCACAAAAGTTATTTTATCACTTAACTTTGGAGTTAAGACCACACAATGTGCCTTACTGCTTATTTGTTTTCCAACTGCAGGGCTCAACTTTCCCTGCTTAAGTACTGGCTTTATAACAACACCTTAACATGATTAGTATTGTTTTCATGTTCCTTTTGAATTGCGTACTCTGGTGTTTTCCCTGGCTGTGTCCAAATAGTCAAATGAAACGTCCTTTCCTTTCGACACTGTGGTGGCATCAGGCATCTTTTAGGGGGGTTGGTCTGCTTTATTTTTATATGTATTATATATATGGTAATAAGTAAAAAACTGTAACCTTAGTAAGAAACGAACAAGATTAATACCACACACACACACACACACACACACACACATTTTCTAAGCCGCTTATTCTTCTGGGTCACATGGAGGATTCGAAGCCTATTCCAGCGGTCATTGGGCGGAAGGCAGAAAACATCCTGGACAGGTCGCCAGTCCATCACAGGGCAGACACACAGACATATACAATCACAAACACACTCACACCTAGGGGCAGTTTAGTGTGTCCAATTGACCTGACTGCATGTCTTTGGACTGTGGGAAAAACCAGAGCACCTGAAGGAAACCCATGCAGACATGGGGGGAAGATGCAAAGTCCACACAGAAAGGACCTTGGTCACCCGGCCAGGAATCTAACCCAGGCCTTATATGCTGTCCATGATTTTGCCTGATGTAGTAGCCAGGTGGATCCTCCTGCGAGTCAACTCTACCAATATATTTAGTGAGGCCATGAGCCGCAGATCAAGTGAAATCATGGCAGATTGGAAAGGAAGTTTCATTCAACTATGCAGATGGAGGCCTTGTCTTTACACAACTCATTCTGTTCAGGAAGCACTGTAGTTTGTGCGTTAAGATAGGAAAACAAGAAATAGTGCAATGCAGGGCCACTGAAAACACCGTAGCTAAAATTTGTTTAGAGTAAATACCTGTTTGAAGTCCCAGTACATGTGGAACCCTTTCTCCTTGGCGAATTTACAATCATGCAGTCCAGGTATTTGTCCATCACCAGGATCCACTAGGCAACGATTATTATGGTACCTACGAGATCTGATGCCTCCAATGTAGAGCTCCCCACTCAGCCTGTAGTAACAGTTCTGTATAAAAAAGGTAGATAAAACAGCAACAAATACTGCAGTGATTGAGTGTATCAAGCCTCCATAATTAGAGGTGGGCAATATGAATTTTTTTTTGGTATTGTGATAAATTTGGCAACAATATGCTTTTCTGATATTGTTGAAATTGTCAGTACAAGAATACTGAACTGCCTGCTTTGTTACAAATAGAGGATAATTCGTGCTGTTTAATTGGATTTAGTGCAGGGCAGTGTGTGAAACATCATTGTATTCATAGTATTTTTTTAAACATGGACCTTCTGGTCCATTTTTGTCTGTTCAAACCTTAGAAAAAAAAATAAAATATATATTGTGACGTACAAAACATGCAAAATGCAGAATGCAAAAAAAATCTGAGATATTTAGTTCATCAACTGTCAAAAATGATTGTGTCGAAGTTTTCAGAAAACATACCTGAGGGCCAAGGTAATGGCACTCGTACATAATAGGAACACTCCCTGGAACGGGTCCCTGATCAAGGCAGAATTTGTCTGTTATGTTGTTCTTCATCTGTCAAAGATCAGCAGAGAAAGAACCAATCAGGCACTGAAGTGCACTGAATAGTGTTCCAAATATTACCAGAAAGGCCAACCTAGAATTTATGCTCTTTTCATTTCTGAAATACGTAGAATGAACAAAATATAAAAGAAATAAATGCTACTTACGACGCCATAGCCGACTAGGTCCTCCCAGGAATCAAGCAGAGTATACACATTGTCTAAATACCACTTGAAAGGCTTACATTTTAGTTTCTCCCTCAGCTTCTTTCTCTCTGTTATGTCCCCTATATCAATTCCATGACCCTGAACAGCAACAAACAGAAATTGTTTTAATGTAGAATTCACTGTGCCTCTGTTTCAAATCAAAGGATTATTGTATCTCCACCTCAGTTTACTGTTTTGTTTTAACTCTCACCATCATATTTTTAAAAAATTATATCAGTTGTAGACTTTATATATATCTTTACATACAACTGAGTATCTATATGACTTTTAGATACAGTATAGCTCTTAATGGAAACATAATAAGTATCATTTTACTACCTTACAATATTCCTAACAAACGCTTTCTGTGATATCTCATTGTTTAAAGCACTCAGATGTTCTCCATAAATCTGAGTGACAATTTTCCAGTGATGGAAACTGAGAATAAAGATTTACACACAAATCCTTTTATTTCTTCAGACACTAATTGTGTAATATAATTAAAAATGACTTTTTGGACTAGACCTTATCTGTGCATTTTTGAAACAAATGCTACGTGTAATTTCAATAATGTCAAGCTTGGTTCAGATGGCAGTTTCACCAGAAAATGATTTATTATTATTATTGTGATTATTATTATTATTTCACTATTACTTTTTGGGAAGGCGAAGCAAACATGTCTTGCATAACTTTTAACTTAAATAATGTGACAACTTATTTATCAGCCATTCTCCCATGCTGCATGGATTTGGACTAGCCTTGTTTTTTATTAATAAAATTTTCTAAATATTATTTTATATAATAACGAATTACAATAATATATCGCCTGCACAGAGAGAGACGCTACAGACAGAAAAGATGTCAGGCCTTTCTCAAAGCTAACAGAGGTGCAACTTAATCCACTCAATCCAACTGTCCAAGTGTAATAGATCCAGACAGTACGGCAGAACACATGAGAATAGACTGTATGTAGAAATTACAGTTTGTGTACAGCTTACAACAGGCACCTCAGTAAAAACAAGAACTGTTTATAAGCCTACCTGAAACACAATCCTTAGCAGCAAAATTCAGTACTGTAAAAAGTACAACATGCTCAGGTCTTTCAGTTACAAACCTTTAAGGGGAGATTCCAGCTAACATAAACATTAGCTTTAAAATCATCCATCCAGATTTCAGCCACCCTTAGTGCATTTCTTCTCATTGGCGTGCTCAGATCTAGTGCGTATGGCTTATGGAGCCTCTCTATGTGGGCAAGCCTGCAGCACGGCACCACTTCAATGCTTCCTCCACACAGCCAAACCTACAGTAAAGCAAAGACCAGACTCATCAGATTCACATATTTTAATATGCTTGGATTGTAGAGTCAAGACACGTGGGACAACTTACTCGTATTCCGAACTCTACGTTCTCGCCTCCGTAAACTTCCATTCCTTTGTCCAGTTTTCCAATCTCTCCAAAGAATAACCGGTCAACCACAATGATCCCCATGATGGACGGACTCCTGACAACAACAGCAGCAATGAATTCACATTTCCCTGACATCACACAGTGGGCCCTAAGCGTTTCTGTTTGGGAAGTACGCCACCGGACTAGTCCACATCAGCTAGCCCACTGACTAAAACACAGACGTTTGAAGCATGGAAGCCATCCAAGTGACATTCTGTAGCCTTTTATATAGTCTTTTACAGTAAATCATATATACTCTCAGAATAAAGGTACAAAACTGTCACTAGGGCAGTACCCCTCTTGTCACTGGGATGGTACCCGTCTCGTCTCCAGTCTTTTTATTTTATTGTTCTGTTTTAAAACATTAGGTTATGAAAAGATGCAAATATCTACTTTTCACCTGGAAAAACTTATTGAAGTTTCACAACTGGACCTTAAAACTACTGTTGTATCTTTGAGGGCACATTTAAATTGTTTGTACCTTGATGAACGAAAAATGTACCTGCACAGAACCTTTTCTTTCTAACAGTGTAGTAAGGGCTTTAATAATGGCATTATTGGGGAAACTTTTTTCATTTTCTGTAACAGTGCTGAATCTCTGCACATTTTGTAGATATGGAAATCTTCATATTAAATAAAAAAGTATCAGCTGCACATTTTACAGGTTAATTTAAAAATGTGAGGGAGGATACCCCAGAACAACACTTCAATGAAATGGGCTGAGCCACAAATCTTTACATGCCCAGCCAATGCCCCAGTGGCATGAATGATTGAGTTGTTCAGCTTGTTTGCTATCTTTTAGCCTGTTAGCTAGCTAGTTCTAGTTAGGAAAATAAGTAGTTAGCCCCTGAGTTTAAAGAGAACCGGGCTCTAACTTCATCAGTACACTCCAATTTATTGGCTGGTTTCAGAGCAGAAATCCGCTTACTGCCCGACTCATGTAGACCCAGAGTTTTCCCATTATCAGATTACTCTATTGCATATAAACGTGTTGATCGGATTACTGACAAAACCTGATTTTCTGCAGTTATCGGATTATTAAGTGCATGTAAACACACTCACTGACTAGCTCCAGTGTTTAGCTTTAGTATTATCTTATCTGATCGTGCATCTTTCCTTGCTCGGATTCTGATTCTTATCAGACAGGAAAACCAACCATTTCCACATGCAGTTTGCATGATGCTAATTGGTGGAGTATAAGCCTGTTACTTGTTAGTTATATTAACCTTGTAGCTCCATGGAAAAAAGCAAACGTCAGATGATTTTATCTTTAATACTTGGCGGACACTCTTATCCAGAGTGAATTGAATCATGTTACAGATGTAGGCAAATGTAGGAGCCATGCAGTGCGGAATGCTTGCCCAGGCAAAAAATTGGACCTCAGGATGCCACATAAAGCCATACCAACAAAACATGTCTTGGCTGATTAGCTACGTTTCAGGTATAAGGAAAATAGTGTAAATTATTTTTTTTTTATTTACGTTGCTTGAAGTGTTACAGGTATCCACAACATGTTTCACATGTATAAGCAAAGCGATGCTATTCACTGAGTGTCACTTACTTTCCTGGCACTGTCTCATCATTAAGTTTGTACCACTCTGGACTGAAGGACTCATACAAGCACCAGAGCTGCCAGTCAAAACCATGGGTGGCTGCATTGTATTTAACCACCTCGAGGGTGTCAGGGGTCACTCTGTCAAACACTGGATTCAGCACCACTGTCCTGTCTTCTTTTATTCTGGCCAGCAGTGGCTCTGCCCTAAAAAGTGTGGGATGAAATTTTGATTAAGTTTCACAAAACTAACCTGTAATGACAAAATGATAACAAGCAGATAACACGTTAAATGACATACTTTTTGTAGCTGCACCTACTGCTCCCTTAATCAAGACACTTAAAGGGGAATTCCACTGATATGTCAAACTGTCTGCATAATTAAATGGTTAAGATGTGGCTTGATGCGATAAGCTTCATTTTAGAGAAAATTACCAAGTCCACAGTGGTAGTGATAGGAACCAGACGTCTGAAGCATTTAATAGCAAGCTTAATCACATGAAGTTATTACACTAAATGCACTGCCAAATGCCTGAGACTTTTAGGACTGTTCTTAGATGAGATTTTGACCTAAAATGCTTTTTCTTTAATCCATTCATAGCAGATAGGTACATGCAGGCCATTCTAAGGCAAAATGAAAAATAAATCAACCACTATTTTTAATATTACACGTTCACTGGATGTTTTGAACAGAAAATGAAATGGATATATTTGTGTTGTAGACACTGCGACCCCTGGTTCCTGTCACCACCACCATAAAGAAAGAGATTATCTCCAATGGATTTGTAAGAATTCCTTTTACCATTGATCATGCACCTCAATGTGGGCATCAAAAATGGCCACAACATCACCAGTAGCTGCCTCCCATCCTGAAATGCGTGCTTGTGCCAGACCCTGTCGATCTTTGTGTTTCACCCTCTTAATTACATTAGGCTTCTCTTTATGAATTAAATCAACATATTCATCCAGCTTGCCCTTGAGATTCTCTATGAAAAAAAAACACTTCAGATTAAAAACAGATTAAACCCAGCACTGCGTCAATGATTCCCTGCCCCCCAGATCTGTACATGATCTGTGGATGTTTATCAAGACTGTTTAGCAGGTAAAGATAAGGTGGTCAGTGAACAGAGAGGCACCGCAGGTGTTCACTTTGCACCTTTGGAAAGACAATCGCACAGCTCCTACTGTATATGATATTAAGACTTGTGAGTGAAGTTACAGACCTTTAGTGCTGTGGTCGTCCACCAGTATGATGTCCTTGAGCAGGTGAGGAGGTGTTCTGTCGATGACGCTGCGGATGGCTCTCTTTATGACAGACAGAGCCTCATCCATGTAGATCAGAACCACACTGATTGTTGGGAGATCTTTTGGATAAACCTGAGTAGCACATCTGAGTGACCAGAAACACAGTTAATGTCTTCAGGAAGTCGGCCTAGACATCTGAAGAACACATGTTTAGGTGATTCTTCAATTAGGGCCACATTTAACCTTTTTAGGCAGCATTCAAGAATTTTAGTTATCTAGTCTAATCTGAATCCAAAATCTGCCAATATTCAGTCATGCTTCTGTATTGTGGTTAATATTAGGATGATCAAATAATGATGTTAATATTTAATAGCGCAGCATTGCATCCCTCAGCCTCAACAGGTTAACAGAACTCACAATTCTGTATCCTTTTTTGTGTTTTCATCATTAGCATTAACCAGCACGAATTATCCCCCCACCCCACCTTATCTACTGAAATAAAGAAATCCTGACTGCTGACAGGGTGGAAAAAAATTCAAACCGCCTGCCCTCAAGTATCGACCCCAAAGCCTTTGTAGCTTCGCCCCTGAATAGTTTCTCCCACCTTCAACATGCATCATCAGACGGGGTTTTCCTAGTCTTTAAAGAGGAGAATCTCACTCTAGAACAGGGGTCGGCAACCCAAATGTTAAGAAGAGCCATTTTGTCCTTTCAATAAAAATCAAACCACCTTGGGAGCCACAACATTTTATGTCCATTTTACCATCTTGGTTGTAAATATGTCTCAGTATTTGCTAATGTCCTAGTATAGGCCAAAATAATCTAAATAAAAAATCACTTACTTTGCTCTGCCTTAAGCTTCAGCTCACCTATAGCCGCTTTTCTCGCATCTCCAGCAGGAAACTGTTCGGCTCACGTGGAACAGTTTCTTATAAAATGTCTGCCAACGTTTGACTTTTTACGAGGCTGAAGTTGCTTCTCATTCTCTTCTTCTTTGAATATTCCCGTTCCACCTTAAACGGTGCCTGACACGCCAGGATGTAACTGCTGCATGATTTAAGGTGGAACGGGACAATCTGAACAAGAAACTGGCGAATGAGAAGCTTCACAACTATTTAGTGTTTGACAGTTTCTCGTTCCAGATTAAACATATCAGGAAAGCAGCTGGAGTGATTATAAATGTAGTCCATAGTCTCCAAATTATCGATGTGCATCTTAAATCTTAAATCTTTGCCTTTTTGTTAGCTACTAGCTAGGTGAGACTGTTGTCATTGTTATGGTGACCAGCAGTTTACATACCAACCTTCAAGGTTAAAGAGTAAATTAGCAGTTCTACATTAACTCCAGCATTTAAGACCATTTACTGTTAAAACTGTTGAACGATCAGCAGAGCTTTATTTTACTGCAGAGGCGGATTATTTTACTTTTACCTAAAAATCTAATTTTGCTGTGGATCCGCAACAGAGCAGTAAAAGAGCCACATTTTGCCAACCCCTGCCCTAGAGACTATATCATTTCGGCCAGGGCGCCCCTTTTAGTTATTGTGAGAAGGTGCAACTTTAATAAATCTTTTCATTATATTATCATAGACATAAAAACTGTACTTACTTTTCAACACATACATAGTAAAAAAACTCTTTATCGAAGCACAGTAAAATGTTTAGAGAGTATTATCTAACATTTACAGAACAAATTACTTTCAAAATATTTTCTGATGAGAAAAGTTTACCTAACCAGCCACTGAAAATCATTCGATGTATATATACACTAAGTATATCTGAAAATGATTTTTTCTGGTTGTCTCATTTAAAAAGTGTGACGTATCTGCATGGAGACAGTAAAGGAGCTGAACTGCTGGGAGCTTTATTTATTATGGTTTATTTATGTATTTATTTTCTTACTTGGGGTCTCGAGTGTCTGGTATGCTCCTGTTGAGGGGCAGTCTGTCACTGAGGAACACATTGTAGCCATAATCCTCAAACAGCTGCTGTGCCTCCTTCTGCTCCTCCTCTGTGAGATCACCACCCCACTTGGAGAAAAGAAATGAGTTGGGGAACAATCTTTTATATTCCTTTGGTTTCTCCGGTTCCTTTGGTTTCTCCGGTTCTTTTGGTTTTTCCGGTTCTTTTGGTTTCTCTGGTTCCTTTGGTTTCTCCGGTTCCTTTGGTTTTTCCGGTTCTTTTGGTTTCTCCTCTTTTTTTGGTTTCTCCTCTTCTTTTGGTTTCTTCTCTGCTTGATTTTCTTCTTTTTTCCAACTCTGCTCCATTTGCTCCTCTGTGGAGAAGATGCCACTGTTCTGCTTCAGACTGATAATTTGCTTCTCAGGGCTAACCAGCATAGCGCTGCTCTCATTGCAAAAACATTTAATGTTCACTTCATTTAAACATGAGCTTATTCTTATCTAGTCCAAGTATTTTAGCAGCCACCAAAAGAATAGAATGCACACAATTGGACCATAATTACCTGGAATAATTTTAGGTTTATTAAGGTGCATATTCAGTTTATGAATGTTATTCTGTGAAGTTCTGAGACACGCCAATGAGGTTTTACAGCGACGGCAAAAGTCTAGTTTTTGGGGGTTATCCCTGGTGCCCTTTTGGGCCTCCAAACCTTAAAATTAAACACTGACTGAATCTCAAATGGCTCCCTAGTCCAGGGGAGACTAATCACTGCAGATTCACAGTCCTGCACTCTCAGCCTTTCACTCTCAGACCCCGACTGTCAGATCCTCACTCTGACCCGCATTCTCAGCCCTGCATTCTCAGACCCACACCTCAGACTGGGGTTCTTAGATCCACACTCTCAGACCCGCACTCTCAGGCCCTGCTTTCTCAGTCCCGCACTCTCAGAACCACACTCTAAGCCCCGCAGTCTCAGCCCTGTCACTCTCAGCCCCACACACTCTCAGCCCTGCACTCTCAGACTTGCACTCTCAGAACCAGATATGATGTACATAGTGCACTATGTGAGATAAGTAGTGCAGTATATTCCCAGAGAGGCCTGTACAGCACATATGGTCGAATCTCTTTTTGTTAGATGTATATGTGTATATATGTATATGTATGTGTGTGTGTGTGTGTGTGTGTGTGTGTATTTATTTATTTATACATATGTATATCAGTAGTGATACTTATTTGTGCCATCATGTGCTTGAATTCACATCACAATACACTGTGATAGCCAGGTAAGAACTGGGGGAGGCGCTGTTGCTGCTGCTGCTCTAACCCATCACTTCCTCAATTGAGCTCCTAGATTTACTAACATAACTGAGGAGAAAGCAATCCTCTGCTGTGTAGTTTTGGGGAAAAGTGTAATCCCCAGCTCAGCCAATCATATCACACCTCGCAAGTTGTAAGCCAATCCCATCAAGTCTGGGGAGAAACGTTTGTTTTCTGTAACTGTTATATGATGGTAAAGTCTCATATGGTGTTACATTACATGTATTGTGAATGTCTTTCCACAGCGCCTTTAAGTTCAGCTTCCAGTACAACATGTTTTGGAAATATGAGTATTCCATTAAATATTTTTCCACACCATGTATGATTCATATATAAGTGTAAGTGATGTAGCAGATATGAATAATTTGCATGTACATTTTGCACTTTAAATTAAATTAAATTTGTTTGTTAAATTAAACTACATCTCAACATTGTTTCTGAATGCAGAATGTGATTATAAAGTCTCTTAGGATGTTCAAGTGTGTTCACTCTGAATCATGTCTGTCTCTGTGTTCACTTTTCAACCCATGTTTCTTCCAACTTCTGCTTTTACTGCAAAATAAAGATTATTTCACCCCATGTAGGAATGATTGAGAATAATTTGGACTTCACTAATGAAACTGGAGTATAGCTTTCTTTGAATGCCATAACTATTTATGTTAAAATACCACAAAAATTGTAAAATAATGTAATGTAAAATATCACAAGTGGCCAGCGTAGGGTTCTCCTTTAGCAGCTGTAGCCAGTCAGCAGCCTGTCCACGTTGTCCACCCACACACACACACACACACACACTAACAGCAGGCCATGTAGGAGGAGAACAGAGTGAAGGACACAACACCTCCACACTTTTATTCCCTGCAGGTTCACCCCAACACCATATGTGTCATATAAATGTGTAGGGGATGTACAGTGTGTGGTGAAAATGTGTTATTTTATATGTTCTTCACAGAAAATGCGCAAAGGCCAAGAAATCTGAGGTTGAAATATAATAAATTGCATCATTTTTTCTTTTAGTAATCATTGAAAATGGGTCCCACAGACTCAAACACTACACAAGTGTTAAGCATATGACAGTGAAGTGTCCTATAATGTTAAATTACATTTTAGTTTGCGTAAAGACACCTTTATCACCTTCATCACCTTTTGTGGCAACAATAATGGAGCCGACTCTGGGTGTCAGGTTCCTGGACAGGGATTAAGCCTAGACTTCAACTACAAAACATCCTTCATTGTGAGGAAAATGTAGTACAGGAGTAGGTGTAATGACTGTCCAGGAAACTGACCCTAGATGTTAATTTAAGGTGTGGCTACACAAAACTTCATACTTGTAAACCAAACTGAACAAATTCTGTGGACATTTTTTGTAGGACTGGCCCTAATAATCTGAATAATCAAGTATTCCTTTGTTACATTGGTTTCTCTACTTAGTATTTGAAAGCTTTGTCTTTTTAAAGCCAAAAAGTAGCCAAAGAAAATTATTAGATAAAGCAAAACTAAACTAGAACTTAAACGTGATGGTAATAAACGATAATTCCAAGTCTTTATGCCCTTACTGTCTAGATACATGACTCAAATACTGTACGCATAGCATTTACATGATAAAACTAACACATTAAATCTTCTGGATGTGTTGAACTGCAGTAATGAACACACTTAAAGTTATGGTTAATTACAAAATGTAAATATTATTTTTGAAGCCTGATTTTGAGCAAGAGTTTACTGGTACTTCTGTGGAAATACCAACATGTATTTGATGTCTGTAAAATGCTGTTTGGGCCAGCCCTGAGTTTTCTCATCATACTAAATAGACATGAATGTGTTAATATGGAGGAAGTACTGATTACACAGAAAAATGCTTGAATATCTTAATGATTTACACCCAAAATACCCAGCTCTGAGGATCACATTTCAGGAAAAGTAGGTGCGGCCATTGTGTGCCATTGTGGCAGGCAGATATTATGCCAGTACATAAAGTCACCTATTTTACGTCGTACGCTTTAAGACATCCTCATACCACAGTGTCAGGTTTCAGACATAAAGACAGAAGTCCGTTCTGTTTCAGCACCAAAAATGGACAGCCTTTGATGGATCGGCCTTTGACAAAAAGGCATCAGACAAAATGGCTTCAGGCACTAAAGTTCATGTGACGTTCACAGTTTCGCTCTTTCTTACTAGAGTAATTAGAGTTTACAGTACTGAGCTGCACATTTGTTTGACATAAATTAAGCTTCACTGTTTGCTTCCGTGTCTGTTTCAGTGTTGGGGACTCAAAAATCTTAAAAATCTCCAGAAGAAGCGCGAGCAAACACTTTGTAGAGATGAAAAAATAAAAGGTGTCATGTCAGAGTGGTGTATGCAGGATGTTATGAAATAGGACCCAAAATTTTTTTTTTTTTTCAGATTTGCCACTATTTTACTATTATCAAGTCTACAATATTTAGTAGGATTGGCTCTAATAATTTGAATAATCAAGCATTCATTCGTTACTTTGGTTTCTCTGTTTAGTATTTGAAGGCTTTGTCTTTCTAAAGCCACAAAATAGCCAAATAAAATGAGTAGATAAAATATAAATTAAATATAAACTGTGATGGTAATAAACAACAATTCCATTTTTCTTTACCCTTTGGGTCTAGATAGATGACTCGAACAATATACAAGTACATGCATAGCACATCGCTGCTCTCTGAAGAAAAACTTGCATCTCCATTTTTGTCATTTTTCAGTTTTGGACGTGATTTGAAAATGCCTGTTGCCTTTTACATTGTGTGTAAATTTCATGAAGAATGCACCAAAAGAAACGGCCCAAAATTGCTTAGAAAAAAGTCTGGTTCCATTGACTTACATTAAAAGTAGAGTAGGTTTTTTCCTTCTCCTGTAAAATTATTATTTTGGAGATTCAAGGTTTTCTTCCGACAACAGCGATATACATGACAAAACTAACACAAAACTGCTGCCACCTTCTGGATATGTGTTGAACTGCAGTAACATTACCTACATTATCAACGTCACATATAAAATTCAGACATGTGTCGGTCACCTGCAGCAGGTGAATCAGTAACTGGTAATGTATGTGTATATTAAATGTATTATTGTAGTATTTTATTAAATTGTAGTTAATGTACTATTTATTATTGAATGAATGTACTAAAACACACTCACTGTTATATATTTATAGTTGTTGGTCTGTTACTGGTCCTTATTTTAACAAATCAACACCACCATTACTTTGTTCAAAGAATAGACTGTAAAAAATGGCTCATCAGATCAACATAAAAAAATTACTCTATGTGGTAACAAGTAAATTAGCTAGTTTTATCCAACCTAAATAAACATGTTGAATGAAGGAATCTTTCAATCTGTGTTTTTTTTAAGTTAAATAAAACTAGTTCAGTTGGTTGTTACTTCATAAAGTAATTTTTTAGGCTGAACTGACATTGAGTCATTTTTACAGTGTTGATTGATTAGTTATTAGCTTAGTTATGTTGTTGTGCAAATGTTTAATGTTTACTTTCTGTTAATCTTTAAATGTGAAGTCAGGAGAAACCCTTTCACCTCCAAAGCAACAGTTGGAGACATTTTAAATAAGGTGGCTGCACATTGTACCTGACCTAGATGGGCCAGAAAAGTGAGGTCTAGACAGGCTTAGAGCGTTATCACTGAAAATACACAAACACAAACACACTCATATATGTAATATTCTGGGTAAATGTGTTAATGTTAGGTATTTAAGTGAGTTTGCATGAGCACACAAAGATGCCCACAGTAGTTTTTATATCTTGTCAGGATGTGGCATCATACAAATGACTTAAATGTTTTATGTATATGTAAATAGCTATGAGTCAATTTGCAAAATATGATAAAGGTCACCCTTTATCAAATGAGCTGACTGTCCTGAGTTATTTTTAGCACACAGCACATTCTGAATACGCTTTGTCACAAAACCTGTTATTGTCCCTTATCGAAGCATTGCTGGTTCACATTTTACAGCAGAAACTGTCAAACGCCAGCGCTGCTCTCCAGCAGAACCCAACAAATCTGTTCAGTGACTCTGCACATTCAGGTCAGGTGATGCCACAAGGCTGCGGACTGATCTATCTAAACAGTGTAAAGTGTGTCTTACAAAGAACCACTCTGGATTCGGTCATATGTGTGTCGGGCCTAAGAGCCTCTCTCCTGTGCCCAAGGCCCGTGGGCAGAAGATGGATTCTCCTAGCATGTTTTAATACTATTACCTTAAGAACTAACTGCAGTATAACCTCTTCTAACAAAATAAGAAAAATGTCTAAGTGTAAAAGAGCAAAGTAAAATAAGAGACTTCAGTCACTGAGTTCTTGTGGAAGGAAGGAAAAGGCCTTCTTCTTTATTGAGCTTGAATGGCAAGATGGTTCCCGGACAACCACAATGTAGACCATCGCAAAACACCCATTTTCATATCCTGTTTGGGGTGATGAAGTAATCACCCCTCCCTTTCTATAAAATTCTATACCATCTTAGTTCCCATCATCTCCAAACCTTACACTTTTCCATGGGACTGGTCGCATTGTAAATTCACCTACTCTAGAAACTGGTTCTTATCATCTCAAGGACAGCTCTTCTTTCTCACACAGCAGATTCTCACAAACTTCTGGAGCCCTTTTTGTTAAAAGGGCACTCTGGTGTCCAAGTTCCCATGCAAGCTAAGGCCTATCTTACAGTGTGAAGATTACTACTCTTTTGGTTCATAAACTCTACTTGTTAGAACTATCAAAGATAAAGATTATTTATTCAAAACATCCATCATGTGCATAACTCCGTACTGGACATAAAGCACAATATGTGGGTATAAAAGCAAAAATGTCATAACTCATGGTACAATATTTAGGGAGCAGTAAACCATTTGAGATTCAGCGTTAGGATTTTCATCCTAATGCTTAATTTTTCCTGTTTTCCTGTTTTAACTGCAAATTTCAGCTCTTTACCTGCTTGTTTTATGTCAAAGAATGTGAAATATTGCACGTAAAAGAAACTTGTGTCCATTTAATTGCTTTAACTCTGAAACCATTGTTATCTGCTTTTGCCAAAAAACTAAATTAAACTAAATAAACACGTTGGTCGGACTATTAACAAAATCAGATTTTCTGCAGTCATTGGATTATTAAGTGCATGTAGACGCACTGAGGACTGTTAAAGATCTGCTAGCTACCTGACCCGAGCACATAGCGTCACATCCCCTAACATCGGCTGCTTCCACGTTTAGTGTATTTCCCCTCTCTCTCTCTCCACCTGAGGCAATTCAAAACAGCTAAGCTCTTGCGTGGAAGCGGCCAATACTGGGGGACATCCGATGTTAGGGTACCTGACGTTACAGCAGCGGGTGGGCTGGGTTTCAAACCAGTGACTTTTATGTAAAATCTGATCTAAAACCTGGCTGCTTTCAAATTTTGATGTTGTTGTGCATCAAATAATAAGTTGTGGATGTAACACATATGGTACCCAGATAGCATGCGGATGTGGGCCACTTCCGGCAAAGATAAGGCACTGCCGGCCCATGGTCAGCACTGGCTAACTACATGTGAGCCAAAAATGGCCCACATGTTAAAATGCTCATATGGCCCACATGTCTCAAAACAGATCTGGGCCACTTCTGGCAAACTTTGCCAGTGCTGATATGAGCTACATGATAATCATGTATCATATATTATTTTAAACAGGGATTAAAAGGATTTGAGGGAGCACAGTTTACATTCAGATCTTAGCCATATTTGGTACAGTACACTGTAAAAAATCCAACCTAAAATGTTTTAGATTTTGTGCCATTTTATTTGTTATTTCAACAAAGAGAAATACCCGGTTAAAATGCGAATTTTAGTTAATTCAACACAATCTGCCTCAGTACTAGGAACACTACTACATATCCTAGTTTGCGGTTTAATTCAAATTTAGTTTACAGTGATTTGTGGCTGCTTAAAATGTTGTGTTCGTTAAACAACAAAAGTGATCTGAGGTTCACTGAACTTAAACTTTTCTGTCAGGCATGTCACTTATTTTAAATGAAACAAATCCTTTTCATGGTGTAGTAAACATTTTGGGCGTGTAAGCTTGTAAAGGGAAGTACCTGAGTAGTGCAGTAGGCTAAGCTGTTGCTCATTTATCAGGAAATAGTCAGTTCAAATCCCATCCACGCCATAGCTGTCTGCAGCTGGTAGTCCAGGAGTGTTAAACACCACGTCTCCCTGAGCCTCATGGCACTGTCCAGCGTTTCCACCCAATAAGGCAGTTTTTGTAATGACTTGGTTTTTGTACTAATGGTTTTTGAGTTCTGGGTCAGTTCTGGCATTCATGGTTTAGAGGTGACTGAGATGTGGCCCTGTAATGGCAGTAAACAGGCTGGGTTCTGGCAACCGCATTTGTGCCATCATTCCATGTGGTATGTGGGCCGCATCTAAATGCCGGATATCAAATGTGCTATCTGGGTAGCTGCTCTGTTAACTTACAGTATGATGTTCAGTGAATTTGAATTTTTAAAACAGCCAGTTTATATATATACGTAATACATATATATATAAATACATATGTTAGCATCTAAAACCCATTTCACACCAGATGCAAGGCGGCACATACTAATGAGGAACCACTCCGCGACGCTTGGTATTTCACACCACGTTGCGAAACAGAGAGAGAGAGAGAGAGAGAGGGACTGGGAGAGAGAGGAGATGACACGATTTAGAGAGAGAGAGAGAGAGAGAGAGAGAGAGAGAGAGAGAGAGAGAAAGGAGAGAGAGGGGAGATGATGTGATTTAGAGAGAGAGAGAGAGAGAGAGAGAGAGAGAGAGATTTAACTCAGCTTTATTTCAGCAGTATGATTACACCTTGACAGCAGGTTTATCTGAATTTATACAATTAAAACAGAATAAGAACTTGAAGACTAGATGAGAATCACCATCGACACAGCACAGTACATCACTCTGTCCCCACACATCATAACCTCCTCTACCTGATCTACCAGCCTGTAACACTCATACTCCACTCTAATCTGCCGTCAGCCATTTTAACATCAGTTTAGGATTCACACAGCCAGCACCTGCGGCCGCCTTCTTCCTCGTCTTCCACACAGACAGTTTTGCCGTCCCTACGTATAATTTAAAAGACAAGTCCTGCACTTCAATATAAAATCTATCAGAGCATTCCTCACAAAAGGCATCAAAACAGCCTTTTAAAAAGAGAAACAACCCAGCACAGCACACAAACAGACGCTTTCTGACCACAAAACCTACCCCTGTCCCTGTCCAGGCTAGGCAACGTCTCCTCAGAGGTAGAGAAGGCGTAAACAAGCAAAAGTGCCAAGAATAACCTCACTGTCCACTCTTTATGAGGGTATTTAAATAACAAACTCTCAACAGGCAATTCTTCTGTCCTCTCAATGACACCAATTAAAAGTTTAAGATTAAAAGTTAGCTAAAAGTTAATGATGAACAGATATTTCAGGGCCATAAAAAGACCCTTTCAGTAAAGGTTTAGCTCCCTACTTTTAATCTCTAGTGATGCCCTTGTTCTAATCCATATATAGTGCACAACATAAATCATGGAGCTTTGAAGGTTTGATGCCCAAACAGTGCACTGAATGTTAAATAGGCAGTTGTGACTCTTATGGCTGAATCCCAAAGGCTTTCTATTAAACAGATACTGCACTATTCTGGTGTGGAAGTTATTTTTTCAATACATTACACATGGAGAAGGAAGCCATTTGAGAGACTTTTCAGATTATAAACTAAGTCAGTTCCAGGATATGATGTGCAGGGTAAAATAAAAATAACAGGAAAACACAAAGAAAACCCATCATCACTGACAAAATAAGTCTAATAATGAAGAGGGCAATTTTATTGGAAAGCTAGTTGGTCTAATTTATAGAAGTACCAACATAATCTACACACAACACTCAAAGAAATGAACCAGGATTACATTTTAAATAATAATAATAATAATAATAATAATAATAATACTAAACACATAAAAGTATCTCTCTCGTGCTCATAGCAGTCTTGAATCAGATCAGGCCACCTGAATACACTCACCTATTTTTTTGACCTTTTGCTCGATTCCGTCCAGTTTCTTTAAAATGGCATCATAACCGGTCTTCTGAACTCTGCTGCTCTCTATGAAGCTCTGCTGATGTTTGGAGAAATAGACATACCACACCGTGTACAGCACAAGCACCAAAGCGCACAGGAAACCCACCCCTTTAATCAGGGTGCAGCCCCTCATTTTCAGAGGAGAACTCCAGCAGTCCTTTGTGCCTGCGTGTTCTCTGAGACTGAGGTGACGGTCTGAAAACACCTGTGCTCTGGTAACAGAAACCTCTGCAGGGAGTGGTTGTCAGCGGCAACGTAACGAGTCATAACAGCTCAGATGCTGATGAATAAAAACCGGTTTTGAGGTTTTATTGGAAAAAGAGGATCCAACCAAAAGCCAAAAGGCACATTTGGCAAAAAATGAAAAAAAAAACACAAGCAGAGTAAAAAAAAAAAACAAAAAAAATCTGAAAAGGCAGAGCAGCACAAAAACAGCTAGACCAAAAAGGAATCAGGTGAAAAACACAACAGGGCAGTCAGTTAAACAATGCTCAGTGAAACTGAGGCAATACCTGGCAATGAAGCAGCGACCAACAAACAATATTTATAGAGCTAGACTCAGTTACCAGTAACGAGGAGATGCTGATCTAGGATATGCTGGTGCGTGAGAGTTCTGAGTCATGTGATCCTCCTCTGAATTCTGGGAGTTGGAGTGCGGGAGCATACAAGTGGGAGGGAGGGGTGACAGGCCAGGACTGCAAAGACTGGGCCTCAGCTCAGTTCACAGTAGAACAGTCTTGGTTATCGACCCCCCCAGATTTTTTTTAATTAACCAGTAAAATGTGCAGTTGCTTCTTGTTTATTTAACATGAGAATTCACACAATAGCAAATGTGCCATGAGGCAGCAATTTTGATTAGCTTGTCTTAAGAATAAAATCATTAAAAAAACAAACAAAAGAAGAGTGAAAACACTGTATGTAACAGAACTTGAAAAAATATACATCAAACTACATCAAACATCTCTTTTACACATTTCCTCTCAAATGTCCTGCTAGCATAGAAACATCTTAAGGGTAGCGCTTTATTTTATGGTGTGGTAAGTAACAAGTATTTCTAAATACATGGTACTTACAAGTCATTTTCTGGCACGTTTTGCACATAAATAGTCATTTAGATTAAAAACTAACAGGTATTTACAGCTGCATTTAGTAGTTAAATATGAAGAACAAATATTAACAATGAAAATTGTAAGAATTTTTATTTATATAGTACTAATTCATCAAAGTGCTTTACAGACAGGTAATAAAGCTAATAAATGTAAACGGTGAATCATCTATTCTTACAAAAGTACAGTATGGTGTTCCGCAAGGCTATGTTTTAGGACCCTTATTATACACATTATATATGCTACGACTGGTTACCGTTATCAGTAAACATGGCATCAATTTTCACTGCCATGCTGATGACACACAATTGTATATATTGACCTAAACAGATGATGAACCTCGACTTGATAAAATTGAGGACTGTGTAAAAGACATAAAAGATTGGATGTCAAGTAACTTCCTCCTACCCAACTCAGACAAAACAGAGGTTCTTCTTCTTGGTCCAAAAGCTGCTGGAAACAAACTGTCTAATTAATGCTTAAACTTAGTAGTTTCTCAGTTGTGTCAGGTACATCTGTAAAAAACCTTGGTGTCACAATAGATCCTGATTTGTCCTTTAATATGCACATGACCAATATTACTAGAATGACTTTCCTGCATCTCTGTAATATTGCTAAATTAAGAAATGTCTCTACAGAATGCAGAAAAGCTAGTTTTCATGCATGTATTACCTCAAGGCTAGATTACTGTAATGCCCCGCTGTTTGGCTGTTCCAGCAAAAACTTTAACAAGCTTCAGGTAGTCCAGAACGCTGCAGCCAGAATCCTTACAAGAACCAGAAAGTTTGACCATATCAGCCCAGCTTTATCAAATCTACATTGGCCTCCAGGTAATTTCCACATTGGTAATAAAAGTCTTTTACTGACTTATAAAGCATTAAATGGCTTCACCCCTCAGTACCTGAGTGAACTTCTCTCTTATTATGAACCATCACGCCTACTTAGATCACAGGGTGCTGGATTACTATTAGTATCTAGAATTAATAAAGTTAAATGAGAGGGTAGAGCCTTTTTATACGAAGCCCCGCAGCTTTGGAATAATCTTCCAGTCAGTGTTCGTGACTCAGACACAGCCTCAGTTTTTCAAGTCTAGGCTAAAAACCTGTTTGTTTAGTTGAGCTTTTGCTAATTAGCTTTTCCTGTTAGTTAAAGGGTGCAGATTTGGGGGGCCCTTCCTGGATCGGGGCCTTGTCATGGCGGAAGGGCTTGTGTGGTCTAGGGATCTTCAGAGCTAAGTCGTCGGGAGCAACATGCTCCTGGTAGGGTCTCCCAGGGCAAACAGGTCTGGAGTGAAGACCCAGACTAACTCGATCCAAAAACCTCCATGATAAACGGACATAGAACATCATGTACCCTGCCCGGGAGAGGGTCACCGGGACCTACCCCTGGAGCCAGGCCTGGGGGTAGCGTCCCTCGGCGAGCGCCTGGTGGCCGGGCAGCCCACGTAACCCGGCCGGGCTCAGCCCGAAGAGGCAACGTGGGGGGACCATGTGGGCCCACCACCCGCAAGGTCCAGCATGGGGGAGTGGTGCAGTGCCATACACGCAGTGGGAGATTGCAGGGGGGCCCTTGGTGGCCTAGGCCCCTGCGGCAGAAACTGGCTCTTGGTACGTGGAATGTAACCTCACTGGGGGGGAAGGAGCCAGAGCTTGTGCGGGAGGTTGAGAGGTACCAACTAGATATAGTTGGGCTCACCTCCACCCACAGTATCGGCTCTGGAACCAAACTCCTGGATAGGGGTTGGTCCCTCTCCTACTCCGGGGTTGCACAAGGTGAGAGGCGCCGGGCGGGTGTGGGGATACTCACGAGTCCCCGGCTGGCGGCAGTGCAGTTGGAGTTTGTCCCGGTGGACGAGAGGGTCGCCTCAATGCGTATTAAAATCGCAGAGAGGAAAACTCTGACTGTTGTGTGTGCTTATGCACCAAACAACAGGTCGGAGTATTCGGCCTTCTTGGAGCAAGTGGGCAGGGTTCTGGAAAGGGTCCCGACTACAGACTCCATAGTCTTACTGGGAGACTTCAATGCTCATGTTGGCAATGACTGGGAGACCTGGAGAGGCGTGATTGGGAAGAACGGCTTGCCCGATCTAAACCTAAATGGTGAATTGTTATTGGACTTCTGTGCCAGGCATGGATTGTCCATAACGAACACCAAGTTCGAACACAAGGATGTTCATAAGTGTACATGGTACCAGAGCTCCTTGGGTCAAAGGTCAATGATTGACTTTGTTGTCGTTTCATCTGACTTGGGACCATATGTTCTGGACACTCGGGTGAAGAGAGGTGCTGAGCTGTCAACTGCTCACCATCTGGTGGTGAGTTGGATCAGATGGCAGGGAAGACTGAGGGTTAGACCCGGTAGGCCCAAGCGAATAGTGAGGGTGTGCTGGGAACGACTGTCGGAGGCCCCTGTTCGGAATGATTTTAACTCCCACCTCCGGGAGAGCTTTTCTCATGTCCCAGAGGAGGTAGGGGACATAGAGTCTGAATGGACCCTGTTCAAAACCTCCATTGTGGAAGCTGCCAGGCGTAGCTGTGGCCAAAAGCTTGTTGGTGCCTGTCATGGCGGTAACCCAAGAACCCCCTGGTGGACACCGGTGGTGAGGGAGGCCGTCAAGCTGAAGAAAGAGGCCTTTAGGGACTGGATGGCCTGAAGGACTCCCGATTCAGCAGATAGGTACCGACAGGCAAAAAAGGTGGCAGCTGCAACGGTGGCAGAAGCAAAATCCAGGGCGTGGGAGGAGTTTGGTGAGGCCATGGAAAAAGACTTTCAGTCGGCCTCGATGAGGTTCTGGACAACTGTCCGGCGACTCAGGAGTGGTCGGGGTGGCTGCGCCCAGGCTGTATTCAGCAGGGGTGGAGAAACTCTGACTTCAAATGAGGATATTGTCGGTCGGTGGAAAGAGCACTTTGAGGAACTCCTTAATCCTGGTGACATGCCTCCCTCATGGGAGTCAGGGCCAGAGGCCTCTGGCGTGTCAAGCTCCATTTCCCTGGTGGAGGTCACTGAGGTAGTTGGCAAGCTCTTCAGTGGCAAGGCACCGGGGGTGGATGAGATTCGTCCGGAGATGCTTAAGGCTCTGGATATTGTGGGGCTGTCGTGGCTGACACGCCTCTGCAATAGTGCATGGACCTTGGGAACAGTACCCTTGGACTGGCAGACCGGGGTGGTGGTCCCTATTTTCAAGAAAGGGGACCGGAGGGTGTGTGCCAACTATTGGGGTATCACACTGCTCAGCCTCCCTGGGAAAGTCTATGCCAAGGTGCTGGAAAGGAGACTTCGACCGATAGTTGAACCTCAGATTGAGGAGGAACAATGCGGATTCCGTTCTGGCCGTGGAACAATGGACCAGCTTTTCACCCTCTCACGGATTGTTGAGGGGGCATGGGAGTTTGCCAACCCAGTCTACATGTGTTTTGTGGATTTGGAGAAGGCTTACGATGTGTTCCCCGAGATATCTTGTGGGAGGTCATCCGGGAGTATGGGGTGCCGGGGTTACTACTCCGGGCCATTCAATCTCTGTACGCCCGGAGTGAGAGCTGTGTTCGTATACTCGGCATTAAGTCGGACTCTTTCAGTGTTAGCGTTGGACTCCGCCAGGGTTGTGCCCTGTCTCCACTCCTGTTTGTGATATTCATGGACAGGGTGTCAAGGCGTAGCCGGGGTCAGGAGGGTCTACATCCCGACCCTCACCTATGGTCATGAGCTGTGGGTAATGACCGAAAGAATGATATCGCGAATACAAGCGGCAGAAATGAGCTTTCTTCGCAGGGTGGCGGGCTACACTCTATTTGATAGGGTGAGGAGCTCGGCCATCCGGGAGGAGCTCGGAGTAGAGCCGCTACTCCTCCGCATTGAGAGGAGCCAGCTGAGGTGGTTCGGGCATCTGATCCTGATGCCCCCTGGACGCCTCCCGGTGGGGGTGTACCAGGCACGGCCTACCGGAATAAGACCCCGGGGTCGTCCTAGGACCTGCTGGAGGGATTATATCTCCAAGTTGGCCTGGGAGCGGCTTGGGGTCCCCGGGAATGAGCTGGAGGAAGTTGCGGGGGACAGGGTCACCTGGGATTCTCTG